CATTTGGTTCCTTTTGGTAGAAGAATTGGTTTTCAATCAGGCTGGTGTTGATGAAATTTCCCATGTTTGCACTCGTGTACCATCCGACGTTGTTTGCATCGACATTGACTTCCTTCAACATTTTGATCATCTCACTCTGGTAAATGACATTGGCTTTCGATCTTGGAGCTGCGGCAGCGATATTCGAGGCGGCCATGTGGTCATTTGGGTGGGAATCCGAGGCAGCAACGTCCGTCGTGGGGAATGGGAAGGAATTTGTGATTTGGAGAGTTCCGTTCGAGTCCATACCAACGATCGATCCAGTAGCTGTGGTTGGGTAGGTTGCGGCACAAGCCTTTACAATCTTCATAACAACCTACATATCCTATTAGCCACAATTTTTGATGTCTTGCTTGTGATATAGTCCCTACCAATGCCTCAACTTGTACTGAGTGCAAAGGCACCTCTTTGCTAGCAATATCCGCCATGATGAAATATGGTTCAAATTCGTGATCGTTCAATTACGAATAAATACTGGCAATATTTCGATAGGATCTGGCGCAAATTCGAAGGGTTCCGCGTCCAGTAGTCGTTGTCGCAAAAAGGTGGGTTATTTTTTGAGGATGGATTCTATTCATTTGTGTGCGAAGCCTTGGCGTTTTTTTTACACTAGCGATGACGGGAATCTTTAACCCCGCGCGCGAATCTTGTTCTTTCAACACAACACAATATCGTTATTGTTCATCAAAAATATGTTCAACTTCTAGTCCAACGTGGCGAATACAGTTTTGAGGCATCTGAATACCTGCAATTAATATAGATTGCACTCATAACACGGATTGCTGAAAATGTGAGAGTTCAGGTAATCTTGAACGATTTTCGTCTCTTAATTTTGTCTATTCTCTTGTGGTATCATGAAAGCAAGCAACTTCTAGGTAATCTATAAACTCATAGGTAACTCCTTCTACGCCGTCCAATTCAGCTCCGATATTCATCCAATCGACCTGAAAGGAAATTGGTTGTCGGAACACTTCAGATAGGATATATCATTTTTAGTCGACCCATTGTTCAATCTCCCATCCTTTGATATCGTCCTTCACTAGGAGCCTTAATCGCTCGACTACAGGATTTAATTAGCATCTGCAACATGAACATCAATGATAGGAGTGAGCTCACTTTTCCACTCTGTATACATATGTCTGGCTGCGTTGGCTGCGACACGGTGGTGTGGACCCACGCTACCAATTTTCGCATCTCGAGAACTACGCCAAACACAAGTTGCAAGATTTCGTCCGTTCTTGTCAGGTACTCCGAACCAGTACCTACAGGCTGTCAGTTTATCTGCCGCATACCTGGGATTTGTTAACCTACTTGAGAAATCCTCCACTTTCGGTCGCCTCGGCGTGGGCAGCTTGGTCAAGAGCACCAAGATCAGAGTAATGAGCGACAGTTTCCGGTGGGACTTGAGATCTGAAAACAACAATGTAAAAAAATTCCTCTTTCCAGGTGTAATTGGAGGCTTTTGCCAACTCTCCAAGAGAATCCATGACTTCTTGCCACTAAAGTAAGTTCGGTTAGTGAACCTGAAATTTCAAGACTTGAGTCAGGATATTGGAGAACATACATTGAAAGTCTCAATATATGGCGCAGCTGCATAATCTTCTCTCAGACATTTCAATCCAACAAGCGCTCTAGCAAGCAATTGATTTGGTGTATCCAAGGTATCGAGATCTAGTAGATGAGGTTTTTCGTCGTATGGACTGACCACCAAGTATCTATCCTCATTCAAGCTATCATTCTTGCTGCTTGAAACGGGATATTTCAGTTCAGTTGAAGATTCGAGTGCACTGGAAATTTCATGGCGTTCAAGTTCGTTGAAAGGTAGAGTAGGAGATGTAACAACGGCCATGATGTATGGAAGTATAGAAATTTTAGGTCTGATCAATTTTAGGGAATTGTATAGGAAGAGGAGGTGAGTTCGAAAAAGATGTTTTGAGGATTGAAGAAATGGATCGATATCTTCCAGACTGTACTGGAACGAACCTATGGGAAAGTCAAAGATATAAGAATTGGAAGGGAAAGGTGAGTCGAGGAAGGAGCGTCCAGGACGCAATTGCCCAAAAAGATACCACGACATGGTTTTGGATCAATAATATACTACATTTAATTATTTTTTGCGGGGATGTCGACCGTTAAATGACTCAGGATGGTACGAATCACAGCCCCTATTGCGCCATTCTCGGGTGTGGAAGACAATCACGCCTTTCTTTGTTTCGATTGTAAAATCAGGGGAATCATAAATAGCCCTATAAGGAACAAAGATCTACCAACGTTAAATGCGGGCATCAAAGACTTCATGGCATTGTGAATGAACTTTATTTTTGGAGCCTCATGTATATATTATACTAATTTGAAAGTTCGGACGCCATGACACCCAAAACGGTGAATTGCAACTGCAACCTACTGCAAGCTGAATTGTCCACGTCGCCAATTCTTCAGTATCTTGATCAGAGTTTTGATACCTTGCATCAAACTCTATCTGCCCATTGTACTTGGTTAGAGAAGATTTAGAGTTCCAGAGATTACTCAGACCGACTGGGAAGCCTAATTGGGACGCTTGAGCTGGAACGTTTGACCTCTCCATAACTGATAACTGGTAATAGATACTCAATGAGCAAGGTGTTTCATTCGAATCCATCTTCATTTCACTAGCACCATTTTCAATCGAATCTTGGATGGCTTCTTCTCGGTCATGAGATGAAGATTCATTCGAAGTTTTGTGTGGTCAGACTAATAAATTATACTTCTTTGTGCACGTTTCAACATCTTTGACACTTCTCCGTTTGACTCCACCGGATCGATTCGCCTATGTAGAGTTTGAACAGACATCATCTTTGCAACAAGATTCATATCAAGTCTATAGTTTGCCTGGTCTACATTAACGGATCTTCTTAAACTCACCGTCACTACTGTCACTAATGTCACTATCAATAGCTCGGCCTATCAGCCTGCCTGATGACAATTGATACTGTCGATAGCTAGAAATTCCATCGAACCAATAAACTTCTCATAAGTCCGCGCAAAAGTGAAAGCAAAACTGTGTGTTGATATCGTGTATGATTGTTTCCACCAAGTCGAAAATCGGATAAGCTTGGCGATATTCGAATATTGAAAGCGCACGCATATAGAGAAAGAGTCATCGGGGGGTCATGGACCGCAGAACTCTGATTGTCCACATGGAATTAAATGTAATCTTTTCGTCCCATCTTTTCGTCCCATCTTTTCGTCCCATCCTCCTCCTATCGTACATATACCCAAGAAACTCTGTCAAAAATACTTGTGGCATTGTACACGCAGTGGGACCACTATCCCCAGATTAATGAACCTCCGTCTTAAACTTTAGGCTCCCGTCTATCTCCCAGCCAGACTCTTCCACTTTCATAAGACCCTAAATAGAGGCCGCTACCCAGTGCCGTCCAGCCGGCTCTTAAAATAGCACCTCGAAACAACCCTTTCATTCCAGCTTCCGCAATAACTTCCCGAGCAATAGTGAGACTGCCCTTTTTCTTCCCTCCAAGGTTATCAATGGATTGACCTCTCTTCTTGGCTTCCTCTATCTTCTTCTTTGCCTCACTCTCAGAGTTTTCTCCTGATGCTGCAAGCATAATTCGGGTCTTCACTACGTCGACGGGTGTTGTGATCACAGCTGCAATAGATCCGGCACTTCCAGCACTAACTGCTGTTATTGTTGCTGTCTCGAGCAACGAACCGGTCAAAGTTCCATTTTGCCTCCGGTAGTTCTTAATCGACTCTTTCATGTGCTCAAACATAGGAAATTGCATTGCGGTGAACGGGAGATTGCGGGCAGCTAATGCCGTGTATCCTGTGAACAACTGCGAAGGTCTTTTGAACTTCTTCAATGCCTGCATAGTAACTGAAGCCCCAGATGTTGAGGAGTGGGCTGGCCGACGAATCATCTGTGCATTTTGCTTCAACACCTCCGCAGGAGTCAATATAAAGCATGATACCAGTTCAGCTACCGCCGAAGCTGCGCTGTGCACAAAAGGTTGGGGTATCAGTGGCGTGTTGCTGCTACCGAAGCTTGTATTTGCTTTGGTGAGAACAGATTTTATTCCTTCATACGTGGTGAAGAATGCTCCTGCTGTGAAACATTAATATTGAGGTAGATTCAAAAACTCAGGAGCTCATACATGAAGGTATGGTCACCAAAATTACAGGTCCAACTCCTTGATATAAACCTCGAAATAGTAAACCACGATTGATGGCTTGTTTCGATGCATCAAAGTAGATCTTTTTATAATCTGGACTTTGGAATCGGGTCTTAAGAGTATCCAAAGGGTATACTAGAAGGTCGACAGCTACTGCTGCAAACGCTCCCGCCTATGAGTTGTGTTAGAAACGTGATCAAAACATTCCAAACCAGAGATTTTGTATGAAGCTAGAAATAAAGTACAGTGTCCCCCAGTGAAAAAGGAAAAAAATGGACAGCCTGACAGTCCTTGGCGCTTTATCATCACTGCTGTTGGAATTTTGTATATCTTTCCCCTAGCTCGCCGGGGGCCAATTAGAAGCCATTTGGAGGGGTAATCTTCCCACGCAAACACTTGCTTGCTTTCGCTGTTACAAATTTTTATGAACCAAACAAACTTACAAGAAGAACATCTGTATGTGAATTTGACATTTGAAATCATAATGAAGAAAATGAAAGACTTCAATAAGAAATGTTGGAAGTAAATGAGACATGGACCCTCCGACCATCGTCATAGAAGGGAGCTTTATCGGACGCTAAGATATGATGTATTGTAATCAAAAAGAAAGTCGAGCTCTCACCTCAGCTTCATTTGGCCACTCAGCACTCGGGCAAGCAAAATCAATTTCGCAGATAAACCACATACAATAAAACCTCCCTGTTTAATTTTATTACCTTCACACTGGCGAACTGGTTTTGGTCAACAACCTCGCGAGCTGAGGTTATTAGAAAGGCAGCTCCCCGAGAGACAATGGCGGAACCTGCTCCAAGACCACAAACATTAACTCCCCAGTTTTGTTTCTCAACAGTTGCGCTGAGAGGTATTTCAATGTCTTTTCTAGTATTATACACAACTAGGACTAATATTCTATAGATTTTCTTCGTATATCTCGCGCCTCAATTGACGATAGTATAACACAAAATCTCAATGCGCTCGTAACACCTTCGAGGGAAGGGTTTGACCCCTCATCTACTTCGATCCGCAATCCTCGATCCCCTCACTCAAAACAAATACCTTCCACTGCATGTCAGAAATTCAAGGAATCGGTTTTATTTTCTTCGTGGCAGACAAGATCAGATGTGCTGAATTATTGCGCTTCGGTTGCTACGAGTCCGGACCCCGATGATCCAGATTTGCTGGAGAGACAGGTTGAGAATGCTAGGGATAGGGAGAGGGTGGTGGATGAGAGATTGGATCCGTATTCTGCTAGATTCTTCCCGAAAGAGGCGCGGACGGAGAGGTTGGCTGCTATTGTGAGGCAAGAAAGAGGGGTGGAAAATATTGTGAGGGCGAGGAGCTGGGGGCTAGTTAGGGAGAGGTGTGGCGGAGATTGGGAGAGCTGGGAAGAAGCTATGGATCAGTGGAGGAAGAGTAGGGAAAGGCCTCAATGAGATGGTAGTGTGCAAGGTTGCACAGAAGCGGGAGTTTTGGGATGGGTTCGGGAAATTATATACAGAGGACTAAATGACTACTGATGCATATACCTGGGAAGCTTGTATGAGTGTATGAGAAGCAATAGAAAGAATCAACTCCAACTAATTTAAAGTATAACGCATGCATATCTTACACCATTGCACGAGAGCAAAACACGGGATGCCTAGGTAGTTGTTGGGAATAACATAAATCACAAATCATGCAGAATGCTTCAAATCTAGACACTTTCTTATAGTAACCCAAACACCAAATAGAGAAAGCGATTAATTAGACTTTCATTACGTTGCACTAGTCTTATAACACCATTTTAGTGAGCGTACAACATGTTTGGAAGCGGATATGAAATTCGTCCGGAAAAAAGCCGGAACTTTCCACCATTGCAACCTCGAAAGTTCAGTAGAACTTATTAATACACAACCCCTCCAAACAACACAACTTCCCAACAGAGCAGGAAACTTCCCACCTGTGAGACGGAACGTACAGTCTAGGACTTTTCAATTATTATCAAGGCCTTCAATACGACATCGAGACTATTGAAAAGGATACCAAAGCATTGTGAATCCTGACGTCAGAATCACAAAACGGTCTTCAAACCCCCCACGCTGTTGAATAGCTTTTCTGGCAAACGCAATTGAACAGCCATGCCACAACCTTTATCTTCGAAAGAGTCCTCACTCTTCAGGACCGTGGTTCGAAATTATGAAGATAAGCAGTACAAGAAAGGTGCGCTACACATGACAGCTTCTTCACAGGCGCCAACTTACAATCTACAGGTTTGAAAGCTGCCGACCAGATTCTGAAAAAGAACCCTAAACATGGAGATACTTTGGCTATGAAAGCTTTGATTCTAAACTCTCAAGGGAAATCCGACGAAGCTTTTGCGCTTGCGAAAGTGGCTCTCCAATGCGACTTCAAATCACACGTCTGCTGGCATGTCTACGGACTGCTCTATCGCGCCGCAAAAAACTTCGAAGAGGCTATCAAAGCATACAAATTTGCTCTGAAACTAGAACCAGACTCGCAGCAGATTCAGAGAGACTTGGCGCTTTTACAAGTACAAATGCGTGATTATGCAGGCTATCTCGTTAGTCGCAAAGCTATGCTAACTGCTAGATCTACCAGTCGACAAAGCTGGACTGCTCTAGCTGTGGCATACCATCTCAATGGTGAATTGGCAGAAGCGGAGAGAACGTTAACCACGTATGAGGGGACTTTGAAGAATCCACCCTCCAAACTCGATTTCGAGAACTCGGAAGCTGTTATGTACAAAATTACGTTAATCGCAGAACAAGGTGATATCAAGAGAGCTTTGGAATGCCTTGAATCGGATGGCAAACACAACCTCGACCGACTGGCTGTTATGGAGCTGAAGGCAAAATACTTGTTCGAGCTTGGACGAAAGGAGGAAGCTGTAAAGGCATATCGTGCGCTGGTGGACCGCAACCAGGAATTCAAAACCTACTATGATTCCTTAATCCAAGCTATGGAGATCGACCCAACCGATTTGAAGGCTCGCAAAGCTGTTTACGATGAATATGCAGAGAAATACCCACGATGTGACGCTGCGCGCCGATTACCGTTAGATTTCTTAGAAGGCGAAGAATTTAAAGAGGCCGCAGACAAGTATATTCATCGTATGCTGGATAAGGGGGTTCCATCTACATTCGCAAACCTGAAGCATCTGTATGCCGATGCATCTAAGAAGGAAGTCTTACCGTCCATCGTTCAACAATATATTGAGAGTGGGAAAAGTGAAGAAAGTTCGGAACCAAAGCGAAACGGTGATACGTCCAAGGGCAACTCTTCGGCTTACTACTTCCTCGCACAACATTACAACTATTATTTGAGCCGCGACCTTGACAAGGCTTTGGAGTATATTGAGAAGGCTATCGAATTAGAACCCAAGAGCGTAGATTTCCACATGACAAAGGCGCGTATATTTAAGCATCAAGGAAACACCCAAAAAGCCTCTGAGATCATGGAAGAAGCTCGCAGTCTCGACACTAGGGATCGTCACATCAACACCAAGGCCGCCAAATATCAACTTAGAAATGATGAAAACGAAAACGCCTTGAAGACTATGGGTATGTTCACAAGAGCTGAGACTGTGGGTGGACCGCTAGCAGATCTTCATGATATGCAATGTGTCTGGTTTTTGACAGAGGATGGAGAGTCTTATGCTCGCCAAAATAAAATTGGCTTGGCTCTCAAGAGATTTACGGCAGTCTACAACATTTTTGATGTCTGGTATGAAGACCAGTTCGATTTCCATTCTTTCTTCTTACGTAAGGGTCAAATTAGAGCCTATATAGATATGATGAAGTGGGAAGATAAAATCAGAGAACACCCCTTTTACAGCCGAGCAGCTCTTTCGGCAGTAAAAGTCTATCTTTCGATGCATGACAAGCCAACATCAAACGGAGTCAACGGATCTGCAGAAGAATCTGAGGCAGATGCTCTGGAACGCAAGAAGGCAGCAAAGAAGGCGAGAAAGGAAGCAGAGCGTTTGGAAAAAGAAGCTTTGGCAAAGAAAAATGAACCCAATAAGCCAGTGAAAGATCAGGATGGAGAAGTAAAGAAGAAGGATGATGATCCTAATGGGGAGAAACTGGCAGAGACCAAGGAACCGCTGGTTGATGCTATGAAGTTTTTGAGTCCGTTATTGCAGTTCAGTCCCAAGAATATTGACGCGCAAATTCTGGGGTTCGAGGTATTTATTCGTAGACGTAAGTTCTCTCTTTATTTTTGATTTAGCGTGTATCATCTTGGGTGCGATTGCTAACACCAAATAGAGAAACACCTCCTCGCGCTTAAATGTCTCATGGCTGCATCGGCTATCGACAAGGAGAATGAAAGTGTAAAAGAACAGAAGATTCGCTTCCAGAAGGTCGTGGAATCGGAACTTGAGGGAATTGATGCTAAGGTTGTGGAGATCATTAAGGAGGAGTTTGCTAAGTTGTGAGGGGAACCATCTCTGATTGGTGAGGGGAACGGCAGCATTGCGAGATCTGCAGGGTATTAAAGCTTTTCTATATAATACTTCGAGGTTTCTCAAACAACATAGCGTCATGGATTGAAGGCATAGCATAGCATGGCTCTTCAAAGTTGACGGACTTTTATAGTCTCTCATGATCCAACGTCTCTTTCATCTTTGACATTGGTTCATGGTCGGAAGGATTGGGGAGAATTAAAAAGAAAGGAATATGGAGGAAAATGAATTTATCGATGGATTGGTAGATAAAAGTTTGCCTACCTATTTTAGGTGCCGCTTCAGCTCTTCTCTCTTCTACTTATCATGGATCTGTGGGCAATATCATGAGTGGAGGATGATGAAGCAATGGAAGGATACCGATTTGGGTGATGATATCCGCTGTTTGTAGATGATAGAAAGAATGGACTCAATGTTGAATCAATGCAATGTGCTCAGACTGAATTCCTACCTTATTTGATTATGTAGATGTATAACCCGGTGACTAACCGGAGAGAAGTACCTTTCAGGTTATCCTTCGTGTTGACTTGGGGTTGTTTTAGGACATATAATTAAGATTCTAGTGGTACTCGTTGTATATAGATGATTCTACCATTGCACGATTCACCATCTATCAAAGATCACTCCACAATCTTCATTGTTATACATCCCGAGGTCACGATTGTTAGATGAATTCCTCGGTAAATTCTCGTATAAAAATGACACTCAGCATTCTTCAGCAAATCTGCGGCTATGGATGCCTAAGGCTTTCAATCCAGCTGCCGAACTCAAAGATAGCAGGTACCCCAAAAATAAATTAAAATGGAGATGAATTAAGCAAGTTCGCGTCAAGTCAAATCCAACCGCGTCCATCAATTCTGTGCATCCTACAACGTTAAAATACATAATCCCTTGCCCAACTAATTCTACAATTCTAGAAACAATCCAACAAATATTTACTTTGTAAATATCTTCGCAAATTATCCTCTTGTAACATTATCTTTGCGTCTTCCTTTTATCAACTTTATTTGTTGCATTTGCGACATCAACCAACCATCAAAGGCTTATACACCTTGTACCGAGATCTCTGGAATTTGACTTCAAGATGGTCTCCGCCAGGAAGCGTGGAAGGCAGGAGATGGAAGCCAGTGAGCTTCCAAAGGAACCAAGTATGATTGATCAACTCCGAAATATGTGGGAATTTGCAAATCTTGCGCAATGGATTTTCATTTTTGGCAGGACGGTCAAAATCGATGAGAATATTGGAATCGAGGTAATACATCAGCCTTCCCTCTAGCCTTATCCAAACGTTACTTCAATACTAACCAGCTGTCTCAACACGATAGGAACTGGAAATGGAATGTTCGAAAACACACTCGACTGTTCTACCAGAGATTGGTCTTGCTCTATTGAAGTTTGTTTCTGCTCATCGAGGGCTCACGTAAGTCAACTCCTAGGATCCCTTTATTAAATATCGTAGCCTTGGCTTACTAAATCCAACAGTCCTGAGATCTTCGATGAATATACAAGAAGACAATATGTTGCCAAAGCACCCGAGCGCAATCCATATGGTACCGAAGAGGAACCCGCCAAGTTTACAGATTTCGATGCTTTTACTAAGGTAAGCACCTGCCAAACTATACTTCATCGAGCTTTATTAATAGTTATTGTAGATTCGAGTTCTACAGCAACTTACTCAATGGGCCATGATTAGTCCAGACCGTATTCGTGAGAGGATGGAAGAAACCAAGGACATCGAACAGACCTCTTGGGTAAGCCAGTATCGATTTATGTCCATACCCAACATTACTAACTTCTTGAAAACAGCGCATCGAACCTTGTGGATGGGATTCGGATGATCGCGAATACTTTGTGCTAGACGACAATCGATTGTATCGTCGTACTGAAGCTCCACCACCTCCTCCTCCAGCTCCAGCATACAAAAAGAATTCAAAGAAAGGCAAGGCGGCTGCAAGGGCAAGCAAACGAAGGAAGACAACAGACACAATCGACAGTGAAGCCGAAGCATCGGTAGAAGCACCAGTAGAAGAACAAGTCGACGATGGGTTTGGAGGCGCAAAATGGGAATGCATTGCTGTTTCATTTGAAGAGTTTACCGCATTCGCAGCATCAATGGAGAAAACCCGGGATCCGAATGAGAAGATATTACGAAAACGCATCGTCGATGATGTGTTGCCACTATTGGAAAAACAAGAAGAAGCTCGAAAGCGCAAAGAAGCACAAAAGCAGCGCGAGTTAATCAACATCGAAAAATTGGCTACAGCGAAAAGATCTAGTAGAATAGCTGGTAAGATGGAGCAACAGAAGCAGGAAGAAGAAACTAGAGAGGCGGAACGCAAGAAGCAACAAGATTTAGCAATAGCAAAGAAAGAGCAACAAAAATGGCTCAAGCTAGAGAAAGAAAGAGAATCACGAATGATGACTAGGGAACAGCGAGTAAAGGAGAGAGAAGCACGCCGCATCCTCCATGAAGACGAATTGGCCAATCTTTCTGAAGATAGTAGAAAGGTTGGATCGGGTGAAGGTCGTCTCTCGGAACGTCATCTAAAGGCCGAAATTGAAAAGAAGAAGCAAGCGCTCGAACAACTTAACGAAGAAGATGACTGGATCTTTGACTGTATCTGTGGCGCCTATGGGCAGATTGACGATGGGACCCATAGTATTGCATGCGAAAAATGCAATATTTGGCAGCACAGTAAGTGCGTTGGAGTCAGTGAAGCTGAGGCTGATAGCGAGGACTTTGAGTTCATATGCACTACTTGTAAACGTCGTGCTGAGGAGGCTGAGAAGGCTAAAACTCACCCACCAATCAAGATCAAGCTTGGTCGACCTGGATCTTCTTCCTCCTTGGCGCCACCCAAAGAAAATGGCGTCCCAAGTTTGGATAATGGAGCGATGTCAAGTGGTAGGCTATCATCAACTCCAGCTTCACCACAAAAAGCAGCACCTCAGCTACATCTCTTTTCTACTACCAATGGAGCGCACAAGTCAGCACAATCAGAAAAGGGTTCTTCACCTCGTTCACAGAATAAACCTCCACCTATTCTGCCACCAAAGTTCACCAACAGGAATGAACGCGCAGGCTCTCCAGTCGGCAAATCTGATATTAGACAATCCATCGAAACTCCCGTCGGGGAAAGCCCGTCTTTATCACGATATAATGGTTTGGGCAACAGTAATCCTTTTTCCTCTCCCGTTCCTCACAGTCCAACTTCTCTCCCGCCCCCAAAGAATTTGACTACCAATGGCGCGGCTCGGTACAACCAGTCCCCTTCGAAACCTCAAAGCTCGCCAATATCTTCACCAATCCAACAACATGCCGATTTGCCAAATCTCAAAAATAATGGAGATGTGCCAGTCCAGCCCCTTAATGGGTTCCACAAAGAGCATAACGATCGTCGTAGTTCATTCAACTTTTCATCACCTCTTGCAGGAGTCCCCGTATTGACACCATCTCAAAAGAATGGGCCAATACCAAGTTCATCGTTTGAACAAAACGGGCATGCCGCAACGCCGAGTGGAGCGTCACGGTTTACTATGATAACTGCATCATCCCCAGGATTAGATCAAGATCCACTTGATCCAGGTCATGCATCGGCTCTCCCATCGTCGATCAGTGGAATTTCTCCTACAAAACATTCTCCTCCGCGTCCAGCATCAAATGGCTCAACAACCCCCGCCATTCTACCCCCAGTTGCTCCATTATCGCCGAGTCCGCGATCACAAAATCTTGCTCCACCTGTAAAGCCTTCAGAGTCACAATTGAGTCAAAACACAGCTCACTAAACACCGTGATTATAGATCAGCACAATTTCTGGTGCCTTACAAGGGCTTGATTCTCGCTTTCTTGTTGAACAGCCAATAATGCTTCTGCCTTCCAACACAGTTTAAGTTTTTCGTTTTTCTCTTTCCTGCAATGTTTGATCTTGCAGTGTACCAACCTCATATGCCATTTACCTGTGCAAGATTCACGCAAACATATTCTCATTCTTCTCCCTGTATTACATTTTTGTTTGTGAGTGGCGTTGGAATGGGAAATTAGAAGGGAATAAAATGGCGAATTTAAATATCATGAGGATGAGGAATGAGATACATCGTTCTGAGATGAATGAATGGGTGTATGAGTGTTGATGGATAGATGCATATCTGCAGAGTCATCTTTGACTCTGGCTTTAGGAGATAGGACTTGTATTATGTTGAGAAGTGACAAGATGTTTTGGAATAGGAAACTGAATCGGTGGGTTGGTAGTTGTGAGCGAGACGACTTAGTTGCATGAAATGCGAGATGAGATGAGATTACAAAATATCAATTGTACTTTATATGTTAAATATCAGTATATTTATATATTTTTGATTTTTGAGGTATGTAATTTGTGATGTATATGTGCTTGATGGACAGATGGGGTGAACAACATGACATAATTCGGATTTGATGAGATTCATTAGGTATGTGCTTTTGAGCTGGGTCAAGTGGCCTTTCTGCTTCCTATACTTTATTCATTCTTCATATGAGCAATCTGAGGTCTAATATGATGTCCATAACTCAAATCTTATCTACTTGCCTCGTGCTCGAATCGGCCAAGATAGCAAATAGTATTGGGCTGGCTCTTGAGTCGAAAGATATATTTATTTGGTGGTTCTTTTGATTAGTTGATTAGTTGGTGGATTGATTTTGAGTTGGGCTAAGTTGAGTTAAGTTAGGTTGGAAGAGGCTTGTGAGTGAAGTTGTGGGAAAAGATGATGGTTTGGAAAGCGTGGAAGGGTGGGAGGAGGGAGAAGGGAGAAAGAATAGAATAGAATGGGGCGAGAGATTGAAGAGGAAGGGGAAGGGGAAGGGGGAAATGGTAGGATGTTCCTTTTGTTATATTTTTATTCTTGGATGGATAGATAGATAGATAGATAGCTTTCCAATATAGAAAATTAGATTGGATTGGATTGGATTATATCTAATAAACCGGCTCGTTGGGCAAGAGAGATATTTATATATATACATGTAAATTCACGTTCGTACTACACGTATGCATTTTTGTATATTTCTATCTATCTGATTCTTCTAGATTGGCGAGAGCGTGTGTATACAAAAGGTGTCTAATTGGAATCTGAAGGGGAATAGTAGTAGAGAGGGTGAGTGGGCGTTTTATTTAATAGAGTAATAGGAGTAGAGTAGTACAGTAATTCTTTTTTTGAATAATACGTGGAGTGAATGGAGGTTTTGGGTGAGGAAGTGAGGGTTTGCTGTGATGGTGTATAGATGTGTATAAAGAAACTGGAATTGGCTGCAATTAAAAGTTCCTGTCGATACATCTCCTTGTTCACAACTCCTGTTTACAACTCCTATCACGCCCGGGCGGTGTATATTATGTAGAAGGAAGGTATCGTACTCGTTTTAGATATTATCTATCCCCAACTCCCAGATCCTCAAAACAGACGGTAATTGAATAAGCAATTGAAGAAATCAATCAAGCATCATTACCAGTCAACCCATAGCGTCGTCTGAGTATCTAACAAAAAAGGGGGGGGGGAGGGAAGAGAAGCTTGGGATAAAAACACATACACAAAAAAATAATTTAAAAATTGTAAAAAAACATACAGCAGTGGGGATTCGCTGGTGGTCACCCACCCAACTACTAATCCACCGATCTGAAGCTTGTGTATGGCAGAGCGGACGGGATGCCCAATTCTCTTCAGTCTATGGTCGTATGTGATGATGCTGTAGTTGAGTACAAATATATTGAGGAGATGTATGTGGGAAGGTGAGAGTATTTTGCTGTTTGTTGTTTGTTGTTTCTTCTGGATCGAGAGTTTTGATAGTTGGATGGTATTTGAGGATTTGTAGTTTGTGGCTGTGTGTGTGGGGATGAATATATGTTTTATGTTTTAGATACTCTACTGTACTGTTTTGATTTGGGGTTAGTGTTTTGAGTTGTATGGTGATATGTATATATAATATGGGAAGCGAATTGGATTTTGATTATGGATTTGGATTTACGAGTGAATAATCTCTTTATTACTCAATAATTAAAGTTCTTTCTTTGATCTTAATCTCAATCTTCATCTAAGTCTCAATCTCTATTATAGTAAGTAGACTTATCATTTTCACTCCGCTAGTCTATCATTTATTGATTGATTGATTTAGTTGCTGATATAATAAATGTTGGTTCGAGAAGGATACGGAAGACGTAGCACCCATGTATTTGTAGGTCCTAAATGTCTAATTGTATTCTATTTAAAGAACTAGTTAAGTGGGAAAATAATAGGCCTTATATAAGCATTACTGAAAGAACTAGTCTTTTTCATATTCATCTAATACCTTTAATATAATAGCTATTATATTGAAGTCATTCCTTTGAAGTGAATACTCTTGTTCACACAGTAAAACTCTCTCTCTATCTATATGTATATATAATACGCACATAATAAAACTCGCTTAACAATACAACTAATCCTCTTGCGATTCAACGATAACTTTCTAGATACTCTACTTACTCATTCCTAATTCCGAATCGAAATAAATGTATTTCAATAAGTCGGGGTATGGATCTTGATGCGTTTGAGTTTGTAGTTGTATTTATTTGTTTGTTTGTTTGTGTATATATGTGTGTATGTGTATGTATCTTATAAGAATAAATAAAGAAAGAAAGAGGAGGAGAGCGGGGAAGGAGAAGGAGAAAAGAAAAGCGAGTATTCGTTAAGCGAGAAATCGCATCAGGGAAGCTTAGGATTCGGATAAGGTGGATTATTACTTAATGATTTATAAAAGAGAGAAAGGAAAGAGATGTAAGCGAGAAGTAGTGTTCGTATTTGTATATAGAAAGAAGAAGAAGGAAAAGAAGGAAAAGAAGGAAAAGAAGGAAAAGAAGGAAAAGAAGGAAAAGAAGGAAAAGAAGGAAAAGAAGGAAAAGAAGGAAAAGAAGGAAAAGAAGGAAAAGAAGGAAAAGAAGAAAAAGAAGGAAAAGAAGGAAAAGAAGGAAAAGAAGAAAAAAAAGAAAAAAAGAAAAAAAAGAAAGAGAAGAAGGAGAAAGGAGATAAATATATTAGAGAAAAGAAGTATAAGTATAACCAAATTTCAAAATGCGAGGGAGACAGCAACTTGCAAGCGAAGCGAAGCGAACTGAGAAGAGATGAAACGAGAAGAATTATACCAAGTAGAAAGAGAAGAAAAAGAGGTAATTAAGAATTAAAAAAAATTAACTAGTTTTCCCTATCCCTATCCCTATTCATACTCTCATCTCGTTTGTCTTCTTAATTAGTATATCTATCTATCTATTCATTCATTTATTATCTCATTCAACTACTCTAATCATCTCATCCCATTCTACTCAAATTCAAATATCTCTATATTCCCTCCAACTCATGTATATACATACAAATTTATCACAAGTATCTCATACAACCCCTCTCCTCCCCTCTCCTCCCTCCCCTAATCATCAAAAAAAAGCAAATACCTACTCACTTACAACTACTTACTCTCCTTCTCTCCCCAAAAACCTTTATAGAAAAAAAACATACGAGAAGTAGAATTTCAATATATAATAGTAACTTAGATAGTAATCACTATCAATAATCATCCCCCGATCCTCTCCAGAATACAAGTTCTATCTCTTTACAATTTCAAAAGTATATATTCGAAATTCTAGATTCTATATATTCGATATATATCAATCAATTTATGATCCTTTTATTCATTTATTTAAAAACAATACCTCCTCAATATCCTCCTCATATATATATCCCGCTCAAAATCTCATTATGTTACGGATTGGTTATAACTCTACTTAGTAGGTTTGATGTTAATCAAACTACTTATACCCTTTTAGGGTTACATGGTTTAGTGATAGAGTACTTAGCGCTGTGACAATTAGTTTGATCCTATCCGAAGGCTTTTTGTGATGGAATCCGATTAGTTAGGGAAAAGCGGTTCCGCCCATTTTTAGATATGTAATCAATTTCTACTATTAGAATTCTTAGCAATCCTATTCCAAGATAGAGGACGAGATCCCGCTATACCCATTCCGGGATTGAAGGAGGAAGTAGTGTTATGGATTGGTTATAACTCTACTTAATAGATTTGATATTAATCAAACTATTTATACCCTTTTGGGGTTACGTGGCTTAGTGGTAGAGTACTTGGCGCCGTGACACATTAATTCCGCTTTCTCTTTCTATTGATTTTCTTTTCCTCTCACTTTTTATATACTATTATACTATTATGTATACTATATACTATATATATATTCTACTATATAATATAATATTATATCCTATTATATCATACCCTAGTATATAGCCAGCCAAATATCTTGGATAGCTTTGAGATATAAAGTAATCAGTCTACAACACTGCGGAGCGCTTCTTAAAAAAGCAAGGACAGATCTAGTAGTTGTTTTTATTTATGATACAAAGTTTGTATTAGCAATTGGTAATGTGGTTTTGATTGTTACTATAAATATACAGGGAGCTTTTGATATTCTTTTGAAGTGTTGACTTTTGAGCCGAATAATTAAACAAGAATAGCCAATTTTGTTGCTCAAGCTGATAAACTCATTCCTTACAAATAGAAAAGTCAGAATAAGATTTGAAGATATTATAACTAAGGAGTATTTAGTAGTATATAGTACCCCTCAGGAATCCCTATTATTATTTATATTTTATATATTCTATTTTACTAAGCTCCTCAATCGAGATACGAAATTCCGTTTCGGCTATATAGACGATATTGCAATTTACCACTTTTCCAAGTATCTCTCTATGAATATTAAAATCTGTTAGAAAAGGTGCTTATACCGCATATCACGCTATGCTGTATCGGGATTAGCCTGCATATGACTCTGTCGAGTCCACACATATATATCGTATCTCTATATAGAACTTAATAATATCAAAGCTTTTCCATCAACTTATATATAATCTTTTAACAGATTATAAGCTTGGATTTGTATAGCACTAGGATTAGTCTTCCGAAGTTATTTGATTAATATTACAACAGACAATAACGATTTTGTCAAATCCGGAGACTATCACCTTTGTAAATATAATCAAATCCAAAAGACATCCAGGTAGCATTTAGTCCAATACGATTGAGCGATTGGGGGAATATGGCTTTACTCAATAAATGAATCTAGTTTCGATATTGTTATAAGATTTCAGTATTCTATATAGTATTGTAAAGCATATAATATTATTATAATAGAGACTATAATGAATACTCAAGTATACAATATTAAAGCAATCTAATTTACAAGATTGAAGATAGTAGAGATTATAATAAATACTTAGGTGTATAGTATTACAGCAATCCAATCTATAGAGTTGAAAACGATGAAGATTATACAAAATATTCAGGTATGCGGTACTATAATGATCCAATCTATAGAATTGAAGAGAGCGACAAAGTTTTGGCAGACAATTGTTATCCACTCTTATTTTCTTTCAACAATTCGAGAATCCCAGTTATAATACAATTCCCTCGATTTCTTATCTTTCGATTCTTTTCTTTATTTCGATCTTTGTAAGCTTTATATCGATAATAATGATGCAATATAAGCAATTGATAATACTTTATAAATCGATTAAACTTTATATAATTAAAGGTTATTTATAGAAAATCTTGAAGTTAAGAATATTTTGGATATAGTTTATAGAGGAATTACGAAAACCTATCTGATTTAATAAAGATTTTTTTCGTTTCAGAAATTTTCCTATTATTTCTTTTTATTTCTTCGATAGTTTTTCGATTATCTATATTTATGATTTGATGAGTGTAATAATTATTGGATTATTGTTTTATTTAATATCAGTTTTTATAATATTTAATTTGTTTCATTTACTAATTCCGTCATTTTACAATATCTCAGCTCTTAATCTTATCTTCTTTCAACTTCGATATTTTTTCACTTATTTATAGTTATATAATATATTCTGTTCTAATAGATCAATATATATTACTAAGCATAGATCGATTGTTTTTCTTTTCGATCACTATTTTCATACAATTTTGATTTCGATTTTCTATATCGATAATGACTATACTAATAATTAAAGGGGAGAGAAAGTATATAGGGAGCTGGAGGGTTTATAAGGAACTGAAGGCATTGAGTATAGGAAACCGGAGGTCCCAAAGGGAATCGGAGGTAATCCGAAATTATATATGGAGAAGAAATGGATAACTACAGTAATAGGAAAACATATATTATTATATTTGAATAGGAGATAATAGAACTATCTTCTATATTCCTTATAATAAAGATCAATAAGATCAAGATATTAAGGGTATCACTATCAGTCTTGTATCCCCTCTTGAATATATCCAAAAGGAAAAGGAAGAGTTATAGGATACACTCTATAGAAAAACGCCCTAGCATTTTATTATATAGAAAAGGTGTACAATATCTCCTATACCCTTATAAAGGAAAATAAGGATCAAGGGATCCTATATAATTAGGGTAATCATATAGGAGATTGTATTCCAGCTTTTCTATTAAAAAAAAGAGCTATAAAGATATAGGCTCTATAAGTCAATAAGTATTATACTACTAATACAATCCCTATACCCTTAGAGAAACGTTTATATTAGATATTAGATAATCCTAAAGAAGACATTTTTCTTTAAAAAATTGATTAAAGATATTGATTTCTAAAAAAATATATAAGATCTGATTCATTAATCCCATAGCGATTTTGATAACTACAATCTCAAAGCGCTTTCTAGTATCCGTTAAAATCAACTCGCTAGCTCCAAAGCACTTATTAATTATTATTATTATTATTATTAGTAATTTTCAACCGGGCCGTATAGGCGAGCCTCCCAGGGGGCATTACGGTTGGGCTAACTGCGGGATGATCTTCTAATTTACATGATCCCCCTTTCCTAGGGATGGGGTCTCAATAAAGCACTTATTAACAACCCTCGAAATTCACTGAATGAGAGTAATCAAACGCTGCACACATACCTATACAATATAAATCATATCGCTTAGCTTGATTGAGATCAACTATAGCCCCGACTTACAACATAACGCCCTATAGCTTTCGATAGATTATATAGCTTCAGATATACAATATTAGCATAGAGGAGTATTAGAAAAAATGCTTATACCATATATCACACTATACTGTATCGGGATTAGCCTGCATGTAACTCTATCGAGTCCATATATATATATCGTATCTCTATATATGTCACGGGGTGACACTAAGCCCTTTCTGTCCTGTCCTGTCCTGCTATATATGTGAGAGTAAGGTAGAACTTCCAGTTCTACCTCCTAGTCTTTTGGGCGTTTAGCTCAGCGGTAAAGCTTCTAAATACTCCCAGAAGTGATCCCGTGACATTAGGTAGAACTACCCTTGGTTATATGTGGAGCTGTGCGGGGGGCCCACTTATAGCTTACAGGCCATTGGTCTGGGGGCTAGCATATATAGATCCTGTCTGCCTGTCTGAATGCCTGAGGCATTAGAATCCAGAATCCTGAATCCTGAATCCTCCTAGTAGGTGATGGTATGGAGACCATACCTTAAGGAGGGGGGTGGTGTCACGGGGTGACACTAAGCCCTTTCTGTCCTGTCCTGTCCTGCTATATATGTGAGAGTAAGGTAGAACTTCCAGTTCTACCTCCTAGTCTTTTGGGCGTTTAGCTCAGCGGTAAAGCTTCTGAATACTCCCAGAAGTGATCCCGTGACAATATAGAACTTAATAATATCAAGGCTTTTCCATCAACTCATATATTGTCATGGTATGGGTAAAGACTTATATTGTACCATAAGGGTAGAAGAGCTATGGAAGAGTGAAGCTCTACTTATAGGAAGTAGAACGTACTAGTATTCTATACCTGAGGCATAAAGACAACTACAGATTATATAATTGGTGCTGTAATAGTACCCCCTGTTCAAGGTGATCGATCCACGATCATAATATTAATTAACCTTTTAAAACACAAAATAATATTAAAATACTCTAATTTCTATTATTAAATTAAAATAAACTTTCTTAGGAGTAGTAATCAATTGACAGAACTTTTTAGGTCTGTCTCGGTCTCGATTCGGGGGTATGCTTGGTGTAAGTACTAGTGGGGGATTAGGAGTAATAGGTTTTTTGAAATCTATTCAAGTGGGTGGTTTT